AAGAAAAATAGTGATGGTCTCAACAATTCTTTGTTGAATTTTGATATCTTTTGTTTCAAAATTCACAGTGCTCCTTATTTTCTCTAAAGTACTAATTCACCTTAATAAACACTTGATCTGAGCAAACCTTATAATTTTGAATTAAAATTTACTGACATGTAAGACTAATATTTAGAAATTCATTTTGGCCAGAAAATGAAATTTCAAACTTGTCAATTCAATCTAAAAATGCTGAAATTAACAATTTATCTAAAACTTCTACCTTAAACTAACTTTCTTCAAATAGCTTATATACAACTTCTTACAACTTTTATTACTTTACTTTTCCTTTCACACAACAAAGCTGATTGACTTTAAATATTTAATCGCAGCAAGTCTTCCAGGGCCCTCATTGTGCTTTTGAAACTTATTTTAAAATGCAAAAACAAAAGACACTTTGGCTATAGAAGAAGCTCAATAGGTTAATAATGTCCAAACATGTTTGTAAATTTAGAAATCCAAATTTAGTCCTGTCCAAAGTCTCTCATTTCACAACACAAAAGGTGTGTGTGGTAAGATTTAAAAAGTTGTTCTGAGAAGGAACAGAGCAGAAGTCACCAGGTGATCTCATATTGTACTTTCATATAGTCTGCTTAAAAAAAAAAGTTGAAACCTTCTGATAATTGCAAACTATGTTTTCAAAATTTTATTGTCTTAAAGAAAACTTTTATTATTATTTTTTAATTCCACCTTAAAATGAAACAAGTATACAGACAAGGAAATAGCAAGAACTGCAGATGCTGGATTCAGAGTCAATACAGTGTGGAGCTGGAGGAACACAGCAGGTCAGGCACCATCAGAGGAGCAGGAAAGCTGACGTTTCGGGTTGGGACCCTTCTTCAGAAATAGGGAGGGGGAAGGGAGCTGGGGAATAAATGGAGGAGGGGTGGAGCTGGGGGAAGGTAGGTGGGATGATGAGGTGAATGCAGGTAGGAGGTGGTGGAGATTGGTCGGTGGGAAGGGTAGGGCGGATAGGTGGGGAAGAAGATGGACCAGGTTGTGTCAGGTCAAGGAAACAGGGATGCAAGGGACATGTGAATGTGGGAAGAAGTTGGGGTTGGGGAGATTTTAAAACTGGTGAATTCTATGTTCAGACAGTAGGCTCCCGAGGCAGAATATGAGGGGTTGCTCCTCCAGTTTGTGTGGTATCCATTGTGGCACTGGAAGAAGCCCAGGATGGACATATCATCAAAAGGAGTCAGAGGGGGATTAAAATGGTTAGCGACCAGAAGGTGGTGTTGATTATCACATACAGAGTGCAGATGCTCCACAGAATGGTCCCCAAGTCTGCACTTGATCTCATTGACATAGAGGATACCACATCGGGAGCAACGGATACAATAAACTAGGTTGAAGGATGTACAGGTGAACCTCTGTCGGATATGGAAGGTTTGCTTTGGGCCTTGAATGAAGGTGAGGGGGGAGGTATAGGGGTAGATGTAGCACTTCCTGCAGTTGCAGGGAAAGGTACTTTGTGGTGGGGTTAGTGGGGTATGTGGGGTGGACAAGGGACTTGCAGAGTGAGCAGTCCCTGTACAGGCAGATAGGGCTGGGGAGGAAATATCTCTTTTTGGTTGTGGGATCGGATTGCAGGTAGCAGAAGTGGCGGAGGATGATACACTGGATGCAGAGTTTGGTGAGGTGGTATGTGAGGACCAGGGGGACTCTGTCTTTATTTTTGTTGAGGGGAGGGGGTTTGAGGGCAGAAGTGTGGGAAATGCAAGAGATGTGGTTGACTGCATTTTGAATCAATAGAGGGAGAAAGTTGCGGTCCTTGAAGTAGGAGGACATCTGGGATGTCTGGGAGTGGAATGCTCCATCTTGGGAGCAGATGTGGCAGAGGTGGAGGAATTGGGAGTAAGGGATCACATTCTTGCAGGAGGGTGGGTGAGAGGAGGTGTAGTCCAGATAGTTATGGGAGTCTTGGTCACATTCTTGCAGGAGGGTGGGTAAATATTTCTCAACACAAAAGTTGGATGCCTTCCAAAATGCGGCATATCTATGTTTTGAGAACAAGCCAAAACCTTTTTTTTTCCACAACATGATCTTTTCTGCAGTACTTTAAAAGAAAATCATTTTTTAAACTTTCAATGAAATAAGATTTGAAAGACTTGAATTGACGATGCTTTCAGACTATGTTTTAGGACAGTCTTCAGTCAAATGTTAGGAATGTTTTCCTTGCAACAGTCATGAGAACTGTGTGAATACAATCCAATTTTCACAGGGGCTTCTTTAACCAAAGTGGGGGAAAGGGACTTGTCAATCTTTTCCATAGCTATGCTTAAGGGTCCTACCCCTTTACCCATCCCTCCCACTTCCTGGGTGTCTTTACACACTAGCTCTGTCTCACTGCATAGAAATGGAACAGTGAGGGATGCACACAGCTATGCTCCCAAGGTTACCTGTCTTGTTTTGCAAGATAGCAGTTCTTAGCTCTGTCTGTTCTCAGATTTCTGCTTGGCATGTTTTAATTTTAGCTAATTTAGGGGAGAGGTCTGGTTTATGATCCATCTCAACATCAATATTCAGTTTGTCTAGTCATAACATTGGGTCTACCTCCAGGTTTTTTCTTGTGTTGTATGTAGCGGAATGTAGATATTACATTCCTGTTGCCAATCATTTTTACCCTTGCAGCTCATTTACTAATTCCTACAGCTTTTTAAGTTCTTTATCCGATTGTAAAGTGCACAGATGGGTACCATGGACTAACTTATTCTGGACTGTTTCTAACTGAATTGTTCCTTTCATAACCTCTTTGAAAAGCCTGTCAAGGTCAGAATCATAGTTGCCATTCGCATATTTCTATAACTGCCAGTACAGCTCCCATTACTGATGGGTGTCAAGGTGGCTCAGTGGTTAGCACTGTTGCCTCACAGCGCCAGGGACCCGGGTTTGATTCCATCCTTGAGTGACTGTTTGTTTGTGTGGAGTTTGCACATTCTTCCTGTGTCTGCATGGATTTCCTCTTGGTGCTCCAGTTTCTTCCCACAGTCCAAAAATGTGGAGGTTAGGTGGATTGGCCATGAGAAATGCAGGGTTACAGGGACAGGGTAGCAGGGTAGGTCTGGATATGATGCTGTTCAGAGGGTCAGTGTAGACTCGATGGGCCTGCTTACACTGTAGGGATTCTATTTTCCATTAAAATATCCATCAGTCACAATCTAATGTATCCCAGTGCCAATGTAACTTAAAGACTGCTGCTTCTCCCAGCTACTCAAATGTAAAGCCAAGCAACCAAACTTCCGTGTATCCCACTTCCCGACCTGAAACGTCAGCTTTCCTGCGCCTCTGATGCTGCCTGACCTGCTGTGTTCCTCCAGCTCCACACTGTTATCTCTGACTCCAGCATCGGCAGTTCTTACTATCTCTGATGACAATGTTGCTTTTAGGCGGTTCGCAGTCATTACTACTTCATATAGGCAGTCAACAATTTTTGTGGTAATTTTCTGATAGATTATTGAGTACCTCCAAAAATGCAGGTTAACTTCATGTTTATTCAAACAACCTGAGCAAGAGAGTCTGTCTTAAGCTGGTAAAACAGAACTCTGTCTGATACTTAGTCTGGCTCCACTCAGCTCTGTCCCATTCTGTCCGATCTCTATGCTATAAGTATAGAAATATCATCAACCTTTATATCCCCGCAATCACATACATGTACATGGTTTATATGTTATTTTTGTACAATAAACAGAAATGTTCTTTCCTGGGTTTTTGCCTTATCTTGTCTATAATACTCCCTCTAATTTTCTTTTATGGTGGGTGGATCTCCTACTGAAACCTGAAGTCAACGCATTGGCACTCCGATCAGCGTGTGCAGAAATTCAGAGGAACCTCAGAGCTGCCGCACGGTATTGAGGGAATGTTGGTTGTAACCTCGTTTTACAAACGTTAATGAGGTGTCTAAGACCAAAGGGCATAAGTTTGAGGTGAGGAGTAAGTGGTTTAGAGGAGATGTGAGGAAAAATATTTTCCACCTAGAGGGTGGTAGAAATATGGAACATGCTGCCTGCGAGGGTGGTGAAGGCAGGTACTATTGCAACATTTAATAAGAATCTGGATGAGCACTTAAAATGCCAAGGCATAGTAAGCTATAGACCAGGTGCAGGTAAATGGGCTTAGTGTAGTTTGTTGGTCAGCAAAGGCATGCATTAACAAGAAAACTAATGTTTGCAATATAAAAAAAACCCCATAAGGTGCTTTATTCTATCCACATTCCTATGTGCCTCAGAAGTCTGGACAATAAGTAAATATCTTTTGGAAAAAAATAGAGGCCTTTGAAATGTGGATGCTAGGAAGTATGCTACAAATTTCAGATACAGACCATAAGCTAAATGACCAAGGTATCTGAGATTGCAAGAATAATACATTCTATAAAGTGACATCCAGAAAAGAAAATGTCAGTATTTTGGCCATTTGGCTGAGAAATACAGAGGTCATTTCTAGACAGCAGAGAAAAGAGGAACAATAAGAGGATCAACCTAGGCATAAGACACTGAATTCAATGGATGTGTGAGGGTGGCAATGGACAGACAAGGATGGCAGCAGATCTCCCGGCAGGAGTAGTGACAAGCACTAGCTACAACATAATGATATAAATGGTGAAGGGCATGCCGAGGTCCAGTCAAGCATCCAAATCTTTCAATTCATCCTCATAAACCCTTTAGAGTCACAGCATAGAAACAGACCCTTCAGTCCAACTCATCCATGCTGACCAGATATCCTAAATTAATCTAGTCCCATTTGCCAGCATTTGACCCACATCTGTCTAAACCCTTCCTATTCATGTATCCATCTAGGTGCTGTTTGTAGAGTACTTCAATGGCCTCTCAACATAATCAAATTTCTAACTCCCCTTCTGCATCACTTTAGATCATTCTGACTTTCCAATGGGCTGTTGGTTCTGAGGTATTCCCACACAAACTTTTAACTGTTTCAGAGAAAAAAAATTATATTTGACAACTTCACAAGCAACCCTGAGTCAAAATAAATGCCCACTAGCATCTTTAACTCAAAATGTAATCCAAGGTTTTCCTTAATTCTAGGCATGCAATCACACTTTCATACTAATAGATAAATTTCAAATCCTGACTCTGTACTGGGCCATGAAAGCCAAGTTTTATGAGATATTCAGAAATCACAAGCCCAAGGAATACTTGCATAGCTTATATCATTTCAAATCCAAAAACATAAGTAAATTTCTCAAAAATAGTATCCATAAATCCTTATGTAGAGAAATTAATTAAACTTGACAAAGTTCATGCTTAAAGAAAAAGGCATTAATTAAAACACTTAATGCTTACAACATCAAAGATGACAGAAGTTTAAATAGCTTTTTGTGTGGAAATCAAACAGTGGATAATGCTGACATTGCAAAACAACATAGATATTTTCTTTTAAGAATATTTAAAATTAAAAGATCAAACAACTGTCCAATTTTCACCCACATTCTTGAAACCAAAAACAAAAGTCAGCACATTTTCTTGTTATCAATTGAAAAGTGAACTTGTTGAAAACATAGCCTTTCTTTCACAATTGTGAATTTTTGCTGTATATTCTTCTTTTTCCCCCGAACACTGTCTTACATCTCAAATGTCTAACTGCTCTTTTCCAAAATGCATATGTTATGAAAGGCCTGATTAACTTTAATATTTTTCCACATTCTGTAGCTTTTTTTTACTCCTTCAATCAGTGTGTGGTTCATTGGCAATGTCCAGTCATGACCTATGTCACTAATCTCCAAAATTACTAAAAATTATACTAACCTCACATTCTCCACGGGAAATGGAAGATTCACAGGCAGACTCTCACCTTGTCAACAAGGTGCAGGACTGGATGAACACAGCAGGCCAAGCAGCATCATAGGAGCAGAAAGGCTGACTTTTCGGGCCTAGACCCTTCATCAGAAATGGGGGAGGGGAAGGGGGTTCCAAAATAAATAGGGAGACAGTGGGAGGCGGATAGAAGATGGATAGAGGAGAGGATAGGTGACGAGGAAACAAACAGGTCGAAGTGGCGGGGATGGAGCCAGTAAAGGTGAGTGTAGGTGGGGGGTTAGGGAGGGGATAGGTCAGTCCAGGGAGGACGGACAGGTCAAGGGGGCGGGATGTGGTTAGTCGGTAGGAGATGGGGGTGCGGCTTGAGGTGGGAGGAGGGGATAGGTGGGAGGAAGAACAGGTTAGGGAGGCGGGGACGAGCTGGACTGGTTTTGGGATGTGGTAGGGGGAGGGGAGATTTTGAAGCTTGTGAAATCCACATTGATACCATTGGGCTGCAGGGTTCCCAAGCAGAATATGAGTTGCTGTTCCTGCAACCTTCAGGTGGCATCGTTGTGGCACTGCAGGAGGCCCAGGATGGACATGTCGTCTGAGGAATGGGAGGGGGAGTTGAAATGGTTCGTGACTGGCCAGAACACTGGCCAGAACTCACCTTTATTGGCCCCATCACCGCCTCTTCGACCTGTTTGTTTCCTCTCCACCTATCCTCTCATCTATCCATCTTCTATCCGCCTCCCACTCTCTCCCTATTTATTTCGGAACCCCCTTCCCCTCCCCCTTTTCTGATGAAGGGTCTAAGCCTGAAACGTCAGCCTTTCCGCTCCTATGATGCTGCTTGGCCTGCTGTGTTCATCCAGCCCTGCACCTTGTTGTCTCGGATTCTCCAGCATCTGCAGTTCCTACTATCTCTCACCCTGTCAGCCTGATTCTGTTCATCCCACTTTCCACAGTATCAGAAAGTTAAATGAATTGTTGTCGTCAGTGCCCAATGAACCAAAGAGGCATTTAGCTGATCATGCTCTCTACCTTGTGTCACTATTGGAACACTGGCAGCTACAAGGCTCTGAAATCAAAGACAAATTAGATAATGAAGGGAGCAGTGGCCACTCTCCTGGTGTGGAATCTGGTGCTGCTGTCAAAAACAGGAACCAAGTGAGTGAGAGAATTTAATTGTACAAGAAACCAAAAATCAGATTTCTCACTGAGAGGTCAAAGTTTGCAGTTAACATCTCTGAACTTTAAAGCAGGTTTGAGGGCCCTGACAGCAAGCACCTATAAGCCCTTTTGTATTCATTTACTTGTAATGCATGCTTATTAACAGACAATCTCTCCCAGCTGAAGTTTTGGGTGGAGATGGGGATTGTGGGCTATGGGGGGTAGTTAGGAAGTTTAGGGGCGGTCAGTGGGATGGAGTAGGGTTCTTTTATGCAGCAAGTGGCAGCATCCTGAGTTGTTTAGAGGTTGGAGGATGTCCAAGGGAGGGAAGCTGGAATATAATGGACACGGGACAAGGAGGCAGATCAGGAGTAGAAATCTGCCTGGTCAAAGGTGGACACTGACTGGGGAAGGGTGAAACAGCCAGATTATTTAGCTTCAAGCAATCACCCTAAACCTCAAAACAACTCTGAAAAACAAATTTAACATAATTTCAAAAACCGCTTTGAGTTCATATAAATTTTGAATTGCATTCTTCTTCAAATTTGTCTTATTACACAGGTATACACAACATACAATTGGGATAATGCAGGATTAAGTCTTTACCGAGGTAACATACATAATAATTCCATTATGAGTGTGACTACACAGTGGCTCACTCAACATCTGCTACAAATTTTATTGTCCTTCTCTAAATCTAAGGTAATTGCCAATAAATCATAGTACAAAAAGGCATAAAAATAAAGGCATAATAACTTGAGCCCAGCAAAATCTACATAGCTCTTTTCCATCTCTATAATCATTTTACTACCTCAGTTACATTCCTCATAAGTTCCACTGATCATTTGCTTACTGTACCATAACCCTAACAAATTCTTCTGCTTATTTTATGACCTTAAGCACAAGTCACCAAGTTAACGTACTCTGGACTATCACAGACATAGTTGAAAATGCCATCACTCTCCATATCACTGAAAATATCAAAAACAGTTTTACTGCATCTCACAGCCTAGGATGTTGAGTATTTAAGCTGTGTCAACTCCTATTCTTAGACTGTGTTCCCAATGAAATGGTTTATTCTGCATCTGATTGCAGTGACTAATCCGAAGACATGGCATGACTTCTAAATCAGGAATAATTCAGCAGAAAAAAGCGTCCAAGACTGTGAGAGAGGGCGAGTGCATATTAAAAATGTTTGGACAAAAACGGCGAATTTTTAATGTAGACTTATGGTGTTATAGAAATTTTGCAATCCTATCCATTCTTTGCATTATGTTCAGAGTTTTTCGTCTTTATTACATTCTAGCTATCAAATTCTCTGTTTTGAGGGTGTGTGTCGTGTGTGCGCGCGCGCGCGACATTATTAGCAGATGTTACATAGCATGTAAACTGATAAAGTGCTTGAGAATGAATTTTACATCTGAAGGTCATTGCTCTTTTTAATCCCCATCCGAAAATTTCCAAACACAAAGGATCTTTTAATCAGGCAACTGTCCCCTTTGTAATTTGTGGAAAAAGTCAAAAATGAGAAAGTGAATTCTAATGCAACATGACAGTCTGCTGTAGACAATGAAGGCATGAGTTGAATAGTTTTGGAAAATGCGCTTCACGGAATTTCCAAATCTGGGCTGCGCAGCTTCATGCAAAGCCTTCCTGAATGAGAAATACGTCACTGTTTCTTCACTCCCTAACGGTTTGTGGGTCTACTTACAGCACATGGACTATTGTGGTTCAAGAAGGCAGCTTAATACCACCTTCTCAAGGGCAGCTAAGGACCGTAATAAACGCTGGCAATATCCACATCCCATAAATAAATAATAAAACAAAATAAGCAGCCTATGATTGGAGGAGCAGCAAACAGTATGGTGAGTGGCTTCTCTTTCCACCGGCTTCTTTCTCTCTCTACTTCAGGCCAGATCCATAAAGGGGCATAAAGTGTTAATGCAGAATCGGCGAGGGCACGAGGAGCAGCATTGCTAACAACATTGCCTGCTCAGGACAGCTGGGACAGTGCAGTGAAATAAAATGAGTGAGAGGATGCCCCAAAGTCCTCGGGATAAAATGTTCAAATCTCACACAGAGACGGAGCGAATGAGGGAGGGAATCTGGGAAAGAGAGAGAGTATCTATGTGCATGTGTGAAAAAGGTGTGTGCGTGAGACCGGAAGTGTGTGAGAGAAAGAATGCATGTGAATCCTAACACTGAATGCGAATCAGACACACGGAAATCCTTACCCATCTCATCCCCTCCCCACACCACCCCTCCCAAAAAATAAACCTGTCTAGGAGGTGAGGAAGATTTAGGTTCCAACTCCCGATTTCCATACGAGTTCCACTGACTCCATCTTAGAGCATATGCCATGAGTGGTGAACACAGGACTGGTATTAGATAAACCCAACTCTTTAGTTGGGCGGGGATAGTAGGAACTACAGATGCTGGAAAATCTGAGATAACAAGGTGTAGAGCTGGATGAATACAGCAGGCCAAGCAGCATCAGAGGGGCCGGAAGGCTGACGTTTCTTGGGTCTAGGCCCGAAACGTCAGCTTTGCTGCTCCTCTGATGCTGCTTGGCTTGCTGTGTTCATCCAGCTCTACACCTTGTTATCTCTTTAGTCGGGCCCTCCTCTTCATTTCCATGGTGTTCAGGTTTTAGAGGCCAGTCTTTTTCTAGCTGCTTCTGAAGCAAAAACACATAAAAGGTTTTATTGGTTACCTCTACTACATGGTACATTTGAATGAATATTTTAATAATTACTATTGTTTTAGAATTATTTCTTTCTTGCTATAGCGTTTATTTTTTAAAAAATTAATGTTGTGTCTCTTATTAAAATTTTTTCATTGGTCCCCTGGAGTGAGAAAAAATTGAAGTATAGCTCTTCACATGAAAAAGTTGGACCACATGCTTAAGTTGACTGGAAGAAACAACTCCAATAATGTGAGTATGCGCACTAGTTCCATAACTTGATTCAGAATATGGTTTACTGCGATATTCCTCATCATGGAATAAACTCAATGGTTACTTCTCAATAACAAAACAGAAGTTGCTGGAAAAGCTCAGCAGGTCTGGCAGCATCTGTAAAGAAAAAAAATCACAGTTAACATTTCGAGTCCAGTGACCCTTCCTCTGAACTGCTTTTTTATTTGTTAAGATGGGGACACAGAGGAATAAAGCTGAGGCGTTCGCTGAGTACAGAATGTTCAGGATCGGAGAGCAGAAGGTTAGGAGGGATGGTGAATAGCTGACAGGAGGGGAGGTTGGGAGAGGGGATGGAGTCAGAGGGAAGGGGAGAGAGGAAGGTTCCAGAGGGCCATGGGAATCTTGGAGTTGTTACATCTTGTGGGCCTATATGCCTGAAAGGAAAAGAAAAGGTTGCTTGTTAGCATGATGAAGGAGCTGGAGGATGAAGTGGAACTGTGGAGTGGTGCAGCTCTGAGCCAATGTATTGCGATGCTGTTGGAGAGACAGGTTGAGAGTGTGCATGTGATGCTGCATGGCACTGAGTGTGGATCACAGGATGTGGTGAGAGCAGCTGTTCATGGAACGTTGAATGTCCTGGAGATATCTGTGATCCTGGGAGGATTCATAACATGAGAGATGAAACTTCAGTTGGAATCCACATGGGGTGAGTCTGAGCCGGAGACAGTCACTGAGGAATGTGATATGGCTGTGGAAACGAGTTTTAGCAAATACTTGGTCAAAAACCAGGAGTGACAGTGAAATTAATGTTGGTGAACACAAAGAAAGATTGGAACAGAAATCCCGTTGGAGAGAGGAGCAGAACTTGCTCAAGGCAGGCATGCCTAGAACATCCGCCAATGTGGTATACTGCATCCGCTGTACCCGGTGTGGCTTCCTCTACAGCGGGGAAACCAAGCAGAGGCTCGGGGACCGCTTTGCAGAATACCTACGTTCGGTTCGCAATAAACAACTGCACCTCCCAGTCGCGAACCATTTCAACTCCCCCCTCCCATTCCTCAGACGACGTGTCCATCCTGGGCCTCCTGCAGTGCCACAACGATGCCACCCGAAGGTTGCAGGAACAGCAACTCATATTCCGCTTGGGAACCCTGCAGCCCAATGGTATCAATGTGGATTTCACAAGCTTCAAAATCTCCCCTCCCCCTACCGCATCCCAAAACCAGTCCAGCTCATCCCCGCCTCCCTAACCTGTTCTTCCTCCCACCTATCCCCTCCTCCCACCTCAAGCCGCACCCCCATCTCCTACCGACTAACCCCATCCTGCCCCCTTGACCTGTCCGTCCTTCCTAGACTGACCTATCCCCTCCCTACCCTCCCCCCTACCCCTGCCTTTACTGGCCCCATCCCCGCCGCTTCAACCCGTTTGTTTCCTCTCCACCTATCCTCTCCTCTATCCATCTTCTATCTGCCTCCCCCTCTCTCCCTATTTATTTCGGAACCCCCTTCCCCTCCCCCATTTCTGATGAAGGGTCTAGGCCCGAAACGTCAGCCTTTCTGCTCCTATGATGCTGCTTGGCCTGCTGTGTTCATCCAGCCCTGCACCTTGTTGTCTCAGATTCTCCAGCATCTGCAGTTCCTACTATCTCATGCCTAGATTAGATGTGGCAGTGAGCTAATTACTGAATAAAATCTGAAAGGACTGTGGATGCTGTAAATCAGGAACAAAACCTGAAGTTGCTGGAAAAGCTCAGCAGGTCCAGCAGTATCTGTGAAGAAAAAAAATCAGAGTTAATGTTTTGGGTCCAGGATATGTATATTATGTAGTTTAAGCTAGTAGATTCACTCATTAATTTGCATACGTCTTTAATAGATCTCTAATAGATATTAAGTAGATTAAACAAATAAATTTGCTTCATATTAAAGTGCATTAACACATTCTTGTATTAATTGTGATCAGATCTTTAAGAACCCATTAGGCACTTTCAGCCTAACAATACACTTGGTGCTGCAAGCAGATTCTGGCTGGGAAAACATGCCGTGTCCTACAATGATCCTCCAATGATGGGTTCGGCTGGGTTGGCGCCTCTGCAGTTTGGGGAATTTGGAGCAAAATCCCAAGGGGCTACTCCATGCCAAGAAGGACTGTCTGGAGGAAGTAGATTTCCAAAGCAAACCAAAGGTGTCACCCGGAAGGGGTGGATTCTGCTGACCAGCCTCTGTATGTCATCTTGGGAGGTGCGAAACTTAAAGGAGGTGGTGAACGGTACCTTGACTGCTGCGCTGACCACAACAAAACAGTAGAAGTCAGTGCTGGCAGAGGCAGCTCAAGTTAGTCACTGTCCAGCAGAACAAGTGGGCGAAACTTGGAAGATGAATCCAATAAAAAAGGTGTGCTCATTTATTAGCTTCAGCTGATTGAGAGAGAGAGAGACCGAGAGACCTACAATGAACACTTCCAGTGATGAGTGGACTTTGGGTGTTGAGTGAATTAATTTAGTCGTTCCTCTGGTCCACACTATATCAAAGGGTGGTAGATGGAAATTAGTTCTGTGGAGCTATGGGGCATAGTCATGACCTGTTAGATTGTTGAAAGTTAGCTAGTAGCTACCATTCCATGTAGCCACAAGTCCTGAGAGATGGACTTCTGACAGTGGGCACCCACAAGCAGGACTGGACTGGAGAAAGCTGGGATAACGTGACAATTGTTGAATAGAAGGTAATCATATCTACCTTTGTAATGTCATTATGGTTTACTACATTTGTTGGATCAGGAGTGTAAATCATTGGATATAAAACTATTTAGACATATCACTGTCACTACAAGTAAAGGAAGAAAATGTTCACAAATTGTAGGAGAGAGAGACTAGCTTTTGTGTTTGATTGAGGTAATATATCTTTTCTGTCTGGATGTGAATTCTTCAAGTGTCCAGTCTCTGAACTAACTGTTAACACTTTGTGATCTGGTTCTTACGTGTTTTTGTTTGTTGGCTGCCAAAATGCTGTCCTATGTCATTTGTGTGTTTACCTCCCTGGAGCTCCAGATCTGCGAAGGCTTTTAGTTGATGTCCCTTGAGGAACTGTCAGTGGTTTTGTGAAAAAAGAACCCTGCTATGGAGTGTTTATGTGGAATTAGTTTCTTAAGGACTTAATGAACATTTACGTCTTGGAATTGGTAGCACTTGTATGAAACCAATTGAAGAAAGGAAATTAAGTTAAATGGTATAATTTATTTCCTCTTTCCATAAAACACTGTACTGTGTGTTGTATTTAGTTTAAGAGTCCTGGGAAATGGTAGGTTTGAAAACCTTTTTGATCGAATTACTCAGTTTGGAATATTATTTTCTGGCCAGAGTGAACTTCCAAATATAATTATATTATATGAGCAAATCTTTAATTTTAAAAATATCTTTAAATAAGATTTGCTTACCTTCAATGTTTCTTGGCGTGAATGGTGCTCTGAACAAGAACTATTGGAATTTTGGAAAGGTAATTTTCTCTGCTAAAATCTGAGAAAATCAATGTCAAAGAGTTAGAGGAAGATAAAATCAAAAGAAAGTAAACTTTTCTTTTGTTAAGAAAGGAAGTATAATATACGGCCCTCATCTCTGTGCACATGGAAGAGGGGAGGGTGATGATGTAATTATATTCAAGAGCCTTCATCTCGCTCCTTTGGATCAGCAGTAAACTATCTGCATCAGCTCAGAGAATTTACATATTCAATATATATAATTTTTATCAGAGATATTTGGACTAGTTAACCCATTCTGCTTGAAGTGGGATGTTCAGATAATGGCAAATACAGGAGGTTTTTCTTCCCAGCAGCTTTGAATTTCTGAAATTGTCCTCAGATTTCCAGCAATTGCAACTATACCTGATGGATAGTGATGAGAAAATGGACTTCTCACTTGCTACAGCAAAACTCAAAAAATGCCAGACAGAAATCCACGAACAAACTGCAGTTGGGGCTGTTGCTTGCAAGACAAGGCAGTTAATCTTGAGAATGGAGTTGATAGTGTTTTCCAACTGTTCTATTTCTAATGTAGTAAGACAGAGCTGATGTGTAATGTCACCCAGGAGCTGGAAAGGGTGAATGAAGAAGTAGGACCCTAAGACATAGTTACGGAAGAGACCAAGTCCCTTTCCTTAAGTAAAGTTAAAGAAGGTCCTGTGAAAATTAGATTGTGTTCACATAATTCCCATGCAACTTACAATTAGAGTATTCCTTACATTTGATTGAAAGTGGAATAGTCTGAAAGCATCCTGAGTTCAAAACTTTCAAATCTTACTTCACTGAAAAGTTTCTAAAAAATTTCTTTTAAAAACTGCTGTGAAAAAAATGTGTTGTGGAAAAAATGGTTTAGCTTGTCCTTAAAACATAGATAAATGTTTTTGAAAAACATCCTATTTGAATTCAGGATTTGGAATAAGAAATATTAAACTTGTAATGTTTCTTTTAGAAGGTGGTCTTAAAAGAATGATCTACCAAATGTTTTCTTTAAGATAATAGAGATTTAGAAGTTTGAGTTTGTCAAAAGATTTTTTGACAGTTTTTGAACTAAGTATGCAAAATTACAAAATAACGTCAATTGGTGACTTGGGCAATGCCCCTTCTCAGAGTTAAGTCTCCTGCTGACAGTTTTAAATCTTCTCGCACAACTTCTGAATGGATATTATTAATCTACCGGGGCTTCTCTCAGGATCCACAGTAGATTTTGTTTGGTTTTTTTTGACAAGGTTTCAAGAACACACAGTGAGGAAGTTGGACATCTTACCAAGTCAAAGTCTTTGAAAACAAGAGAACCCTGAACAGACTACAAGCACTTGAAGATCCAAGATAGGGGCATTGTTTAAAACCACCAAGTCTAGACATTACTGTTTCTGAAATTGCAATTAATAAAATTACTTGATACAAATTGCTAGCTCAAGTATGCAATGGAAAATTCAATTGAAGTTTCAAGGGCAAGTAAATTTAAATCTTTAAATTCCAATTTAAAACAGGAGTCAAAGGAATCAGTGTAGGCTATTTTAATCTAATAAAAAAGGAAAGATTGGGAAAAATATTAATTGATAACAAATGAAATATCAGCCTAACAACACTGCTGAGGCTGTGCACAAGGAAAACTGTTGAGTCTGTTGTCAATTTTGAATTGGGAATAATTTCTGACTGTCTTTTTGTTGTTTACTCTGGACAGTAAGATTTTCTCAGAACTCCTGTATCAGTTATAATGGTAATTAATGGGGACCACACTTTGAATGAAAGAATAGTGACGGGGAAAAAGTAACACAGCATCCTAGAGTCGTACAGTTATACAGCATGGAAACAGCTGAAATCAATCAATACAGTCTCCCGAGACCATTCATGGCTAATTAAGGACCTCTTTCATTACTCCAGGTATTTTACCAGTCATGAATATACCTTTCAGCATGAGAGGAGACTAACTGGTGAACTGGCCGACCGATTACTCTTGGCTACAATGGCTACCCTTGTGGAAACACTGCTCCATCCTTACCCTGCTTCTGGCATTCATGCCAGGATTAACTGGCAAGAGCTAGAGGTGAGCTTCTTTCCCTAAAAGGGACAGGAGTCCCAGCAGCAGCTCGATTGGCATGGTATCTTGGTAGGACTCTCAAAGTGACAGAGTTGCTGCCTGGGTTTTCCAGCCCTGTTACCAGAACCGCTGCCAGCATTTGGCCCATATCCCTCTAAACCCTTCCTATTCATGTACCCATCCAGATGCCTTTTAAAATGTTGTAATTGTACCAGCCTCCACCACCTCCTCTGGGAGTTCATTCCATACACGCACCACTCTCTGCATGGAGCCATCTGGAGATGTTTTCAACTTATTTTGTGTACAGTGGAATGTTTGGAAATGTACTGAAAGCAGTATGAAATGGAGATTCAGCATGTAATGTTAGATTCAGAATAGTATTAATATCAGGGATTTGGCCCCACTTATCAGACTTTTCACCATCAGATTGGAGCTCACAAGACAGGTGCCATGGAATCTGAGACAGCTCCGAGTGCCACCGTCACCAAAGTCCCCAGCAAATAAAAGACAGAGTGAGACTCACTTGTTTGTATCTATACATATATTATGTAGTTTAAGGTAATAGATTCAGTCATGAGTTTGCATATGTCTGTAATAGACATTAAGTAGATTAAGCAAATAAATTTGCTTCATATTAAAGTGCATTAGTCTTCTTGGATTAATTGTGATCAGATCTTGAAACTGTTTAGTACTGTCTGCTGAAAGTACTTAAGTACTGCAATGGTTTGCTATTGTCTTCTCTGGGATGGCTGACCTGTCATCAGGCGTATTGGAGGTATTTACAGACTGACACTCAACCTGTTTGGCCACTGTACATCTTAAGCTCTGGCAGAGGTGAAGGTCCCAATAACTCACCTAAAAGCTCCCATCAACTCTAGTAACCATTCACTGCCTTTACACTTGCCAACAGACTTTGGATTGGATTTAGTTTATTCAGCAGCGGTTCTGATAACAGGGCTGGAAAACCCAGGCAGCAACTCTGCCTCTGTCACTTTGAGAGCCCTACCAAGATACCATGCCAATCTAGCTGCTGATGAGCTGCTGCTGGGACTCCTGTCCCTTTTAGGGAAAGCTGCTCACCTCTAGCTCTTGCCAGTTAATCCTGGCATGAATGCCAGAAGCAGGGCAAGGATGGAGCAGTGTTTCCACAAGGGTAGCCATTGTAGCCAAGAGTAATCTGTGGGCCAGTTCATCAGTTAGTCTCCTCTCATGCTGAAAGGTATATTCATGACTGGTAAAATACCTGGAGTAATGAAAGCGGTCCTTAATTAGCCATGAATGGTCTCAGGGGACTGTATTGATTGATTTCAGCTACAATGCTTGGTTGTGCTGTAGTGATTTGCTGCTTCCAGCTTTAAATACATTTTTCTTTTAAGGCGTTTGTAAAACTCAAAACAATTTTAAAAATATAATTCAGTACTGGAGAAATATTACTTTACTGAAGCTTTTACAACTTTTTAACATTTCAGAATTTGTAAATTCTGTTCAATAGTTGAGAAAAAAAAATCAGTATAAATTTCACCACAGTCCTTTTCTTCTTGAGATATTTATGCCTTTCTCTCCTAACAAAATAGCATATTCGTCCTTTTCCCACCATTAAAATATATTCAAATTTTCAGTAATTGTTTTTCTTCCCTCTGAAATGCTTGCTGGTTTTAAACTTCTTCTGCATTGGACTTGCAATTTTTACATTTGTTTCTGATATTCCTCTCTTCAATATAAATTAAAAAGTGATGACTGTTTTTAAATTTTGCAGCTGATGCTTTTGGTGTCATACAGCCATAGAGCTGTACAGCATGGAAACAGATGCTTTGGTCCAACTTGTTTATGCCAACCAGATATCCCAAATA